GGTCAGGAGTATCTTCAGGAGGGACCTTCAGGAGGAAGATGAGAGAAAGACTCAGCAGGCAGTGAGAAGGCAGATCCCATGGTCACAAGTGAAAGCATTTCAAAAAGTCTGTTAGAAAGAGAACTAACAACCTGAGTTTGAAAGAGGTCACAGTATTTGTCCAGTAAAACATTTAGAACCAGTAGGAGATGGGAGCAGTCACAGGGTTTGTACAGGAGAGTGTACAAGATTAAGGAGCTTTATTAACTGAGATCCCTGAAACTCTAAAACGTGGGACATGACGTCCTATTGCTCGTGGAGAGGCTGATTCCTTCATCAGTGTCGGGGACAGTGCTTGACACAGAGTAGGCACTTAATAAACACTTACTAAATAAATGAGTGAGGGAATGAATGAAGTGTTAACGTTTTAACACTTATCCATTCGACACCTAAAATTATCTCTTGTAACCCATGAATATACCTGTCTAATAGGAAGTGGGGTGAGGATGAAAGATTAGCAAGCCCTTGGGGCTGCAGATCTAAAGCCACGTTCTCTGCTCCCCTTTATTAGACAACTTGCATGTTGATCATCTATCTGAAGGGGAAGAGAAAGCATTATTTATTGGCCCTCCTGAAGCCTTAATAATAATTATACTCATTTTTCTCTAAATTTAGGTTGAGTGATGCTCTAAACTTAAAACAAAGAGAATCCGTGGTGTTGGTTTGAGGATCACATGGTCATATAATTAAGTCATTACCCCCCAGTGTTAGACAGACTTACCTCCCCAATCACCAGAACCCTGAACAACCACAGGCTTTACCCACCAAGGCAGTGGGTTCAACATGCACGGCCCTAAATGGATTGCACCTTCTCTGGTGGCAGATCAGAGGGAGAGAAGAGTCCAGGAGGCTCAGAGCCACGTATGCCCGCCTCCTTCCAAATGTGCCCATAAGATAGGTCAGTGGCGAGCAGTGAAAGAGCTTGAAGTGTTCCTCCCGGAGCTTGTCTCCCAGGGACTGGAGTGGCAGGTCTCTTCCTCTACGGCAGTGTGAGGGGTGGGGAATGATTACCTCACTGAACAGTTATTCCAAAATCAGCAACGCTTTAGGAAATCTGTTAGGCTGTGTCTGCCCTAGAAACCCAGTGTGTCAACATTTTCATTTGCCTCCCTTCCTTCTGTTTCAAGATTTGAAAATCTTCGATGTCTGGATCATGCCCAACTCAGATGTCAATATTTCCTTGTTCAATGAGGCAGCCACTGCAGGTGCTGAAGCAATGCCCAGCATGGCTCCTTGCTGCTCCTGAAGACGCGAAGACACACTGGCCGCTTTCCCCGTGGATATTATTTTGGGAAAGCTGTGCTGACTGTGGATATCAGGATCCCATGGGTGTCCTTATACGGCTGAGGCAAAGGGAAAGCTACTCTTCCCCTAAGGGCAGGGGTTAAGGAGAAGCCAACCAGAAACTTGCTGGTGTCAGCAGTGAAGTGGTTACTACACACCCACCTCACCAGGCAGCAAAATCTTGGAGGGTGGAGGACGAAATTTCATACCGCTAAAGAAATGCTTGTGCACACCATCACACACACAAAATCATACACACACACACACACACACACACACACACACACACCCTGTAACACCAGCTTTTAGGAAAGGTCCTAGACTATGTAGGAGAGAGAATGGAGATGGGCAGTAACAGTTGTACGACATTCCTTATTTTTCCAAATCAAGAACACGGTAGTGTTAATTTAACCATACAGTAATGAAATCAGCTTTCATGGGTAGCTGCAGAAAGGGATTCATTGTTTTATATGTCAAACCATTTAAAGCTATGATTTCTGGTCGATGACAGAATATTTAGAGGGATTTGCACAAACTAATAAACCTCATGCAATTTATAAGTACCTCTGAGCCTGCACCAAGGTTAACCAAAATATCTTAGTAAAATGTACCTTGTTTGTCATGACTTCTGCTTAATGAGGAGCATCTCTGTGCTTCACTGGCTAATTCTAAATTCTAGCAACTTGTTTACTTAAGAGGGATTTCATAATAATGTAACTTAATGATGCATACAGTACAGATCAAGTGATTCCGTTTTACAAGTATTTTCTTCTGCCTGGAATATCTCCATAAGCAAAATCTGTCAAAAATTAGAAACAAGCCCTTGAGATTACCTAGTGAAAGCCTTTCATTTATGGATGATGAAAGTGAGTTAATAACAAAACCAGGATGAGAACGCAGATTTCAACTCCCAATCCTGTGTTCTATCCTCTACCCATCCTTTAAGATTCAGTACAAGCCCCACCTCCTCATGAAGCCTTCCATGAATCCCAATGATTTCTCACTTTTATGCACCCCAATCATGGTCTATACTGTATCATTTAGCATTTGGTTAAAAGTCTTGTCACCTTCAATATTATGTCATATTCTTGTATCTCCAAGGAGACTATTATCTCAAGGACAAAATCCATGTTCGAGGATTCTCTTGACTGTTCCACAGTACCTAGCAAATCACGTGCATCACCTAATCTTCTAACTTACTTGTCCCGTCTCTAATGAATCCAGGACTTTGCTCCTTGTCATTTCAACCTTACTGTCCTCTTTAGTAACATAAACTTCCATATGCATGATTTTTTTAACCATAGATTTACATTATATTATACATATATATATATATATATATACACACACACACACACACACACACACACACACACACACACATCCTTGACAACTAGCACTGTAGCTGGCTCATAGTAGGCAGTCAATAAAGGTTTGGAGAGAGAGAAAATTCTTGAGGTCGCTATGATCAGGGAAGGTACACAGGTACACAGAGGAAGTAAAATGTTAAATTGAGCCTTGAAGAAAACATATTGATTAATGTGCAAAGAGGAAATAAATGATACTTGAGACAAAGAGTATCCTATGTTTGAATTCCAAATTGGGTACTTATTATTTGTTAAATCTTAGACAATTCACTTAACCTGTCTGAGCCTCGGCTTCCCCATCTGCTAAACTAGGATAATATTACAGATTTCACAGTGTCTGAAAAATAACATAAATTACACAGTCGGATTCGATAAATAGTAGTTACTAACAACAGTAACAAAAATTAATAATAAATCCTTGAATAAAGAAACCAATAGACGTCCCAAGTGAGGGCACAGTGGGTAGCCTAGTTAGACTACAGCAAAATGCTTCACAAAGGGAAATGATGATAGGTGAGAATGGAGAGACAGAGGCCAGATTCAGTCACCATTTCTTTCTCCAACCAACTTAGAGCTTAAAGCTATCAACTGCGTCACTAAATTCACTGCAGGGTGTGATGATGGCCAAGGACTGTGAAGTGGTTCATTCTTAGTAAAAAGCACATGGGCATTGAATCAGACAAGACATGGGTTTTAATCTCAGGTCTGGCACTTACTGGGGCATAAACTGGAGGTGGTTTGTTGTTGTAAGTATTAAACAAGTAATATATGTGAAGCATCTACCATAATGCTAGGCAGATGATGGACACTCAACAAATCTTAGTTATCTCATCTGTGATGTGTACCACCATCACATCTCACCCTTTGTACTTTTCTTTCTCTCATTTGTCTTTGCCTCTTCCCAAGCTCTTCTCTAGCTCTTTCTTTGTCACCAGGTTCTTTGCTTGCCTACCCAAACCTAGGGCTTTCAAGGGTTTACTGAGATCAATGTCATCAGAAAGCATTTAAAACCACGGACTGTAAGTTGGGCACTGTGCTAATAACTCTAAATTTAAACACAGCTGCCTGTATTGTCCTTGGAAGTACTTCAAATTCATTTGTGTGAATGAGCCATGCCCCCTCCAGGTAAATCAGCTTGCAAAGGAGATCAGCTTGAAGTTAAAGCCACATCATAGGCCAAAGGTACTCACGATTCCTATAGTTCCAAAAGTGTTTATCTGGGCATAGCATAGAGAAAACCCAGGAAACCTGGGCTAGGTATCACTGGAATGGTAGGAAGCAACAATGAACAACAGTGGAGACACAAAAGTCAAAGTATAGCCAGGCATGTCCTTTCAACCCGTGCATCCATCACACTTCTGACAATTTAGCCAGAGGAAATAACTATGGATATGCACAAAGACTTAGCTAAAAGGTTTTCTTTGCAGGCCTGTTTATTTAATAGTATAACAGTAAAGCAAGCCTTAACATCTAAAAATAGATTGATTCAATTATGGTTTATCCATATAATCTATGAACACACACTGTCACAGAGGAATATTTATTAATGTGGAAAGATGACCAGGCTATACTATTAACTGACAAAAGCAGATTGCAAAGCAAAATATACTAGGTGAGCCTGTGTTTTTAAGTATATATGAATAAAAAAAAGACTGGAAGTTTAGTAAGATATTAAAAATAATCGACACTGGAGATGAAATTATTAATTTTTACTTTTTATTTTTTGTTTCCTGATTGTTTATAGTTTTGAATGTTTCCATATATCACTTTGTAACAAGAAAAAATGCCATGTATATAAACATATGTATGCTATTTTTTCAAATACCTATGGCATTTTTGTTACAAAATATATGTATATATGTAATGTATTTATATGGCTTCGATAAATGGTAGTTTTTAAAAACAAAAATTACATATTTTATATATAATATATAAAATTACGTATTTAATAATATATATTCTACACACACACATACTGTTTTGTGAGTGGAGATAAATGGTGGATGGATGAATAAATGGATGGATGGATTAGATTAGATAAATGGTAGATGGATGGTAAATTAGATGATAGATTAGATCATAGATAAACAGTAGATTAGACGGATTGATAGATGATGGATTCAATACATAGATGGTAAATAGATAGATGATAGATAGGCAGGTAGATAGATAGATGTCCAGGAGGCGCACAGAGCCAGATGTCTAGCAAGACGGTGTGTATTGAGCGCCACGCAGTATCAACAGTTACAGGTTAACCAAAACGAGCGAACGTCCGGGCAGCTGTGCCTGAGCCCGTCTTTTCTCCATCAGGTGGACGCCCACGGCAACATTCTCCTCAGCACCCTGGAGATCAGGAACGAGACGAGCGGCTCGGAAGTGCTCACGGGCGGGAGCGACCCCAAGGCCACCATGTACTCGTACGACAGCGCCAGCATCCAGTACCGCAAGCCGCTGAGCAGCCGCGAGGCGTACGGGCGCGCGCTGGACCGACACGGCGCCCACAGCAAGGGGCGCCTCCGCAGACGCGCCTCGCAGCTCAAAGTCAAAATCCCCGACTTGACTGATGTGAATTCCATAGACAAGTGGTCCCGAATGTTCTTCCCCATCACCTTTTCTCTTTTTAATGTCGTTTATTGGCTTTACTATGTACACTAAGTTCGGTCCCCATGGTTCCTAAACGACTACTTTCTTCTTCTCTTAGTTTTTAATCCCACAGGTCCCCAGCAGCGGTACTGCTGTGCTTTTTGAGGTAAGAGATTCAGTCATCCAATTGGTTTTAGGTCTTGCATATCAATTTTATTACTGCACCATGTTTACTTCAAAAGAAAAAAAAAAAAAAAACTCTATTTTTTTTTCCAGTCTACTGTGGTCCAGGTTACTGGCTCTTTCAGAGCTCTGTTAATTGCCATGTTTACAAACAAATACACACAACGAGAGAGAAATTAGATAGGCAGATCTTTAGCAGTTCTAGCCGCCCTGGATTTGACTGATTATTTTTTAAGTGAAAATGAAAAGAGGACCCAGCTCTCTGTGTGCATGGCTTCCTGGTCAACTGTAACAATCTCATGCTGCCAAAAAACAACACAATTTCCAGGATCTCAGAAGACAAAACAAAGCCATTGATAAGTTACAGATTTCCAGGAAGAAGGGAGAACAAAAAGGAGCCTAGAAGAGGAAGGAAGACTCCCCTCCACCCTCAAGCTGCCCCAGGTCCACTGTAGGAGGGGGTCCCAGCTCCACGGAGGAAGAGGGGGAGACTGGCAAGCGCTGCTGCAGGTTGTGCAAACCCAATCTGCCATCTTCACCTCACCTTTAAGCTGGATATTCTGAAAAATACTTCTTTCTCAGACTTCCAGGCAGATTTTAAATTAACATTAGAATCCAGCCTGGTAGCCACTGGGAACATTTTTCTTTTCTTCTTAAGTATAAGGAGTTTGGGGGGCAGTGACCATCTTTAAGCTCTTTCAAATGAGCAGCCCTGAACTTACTTCCTTAGCCTGGAATCACTTGACGCTGTGTCATGAAGCCATGGCATCACATTGCCCTCGTTCCTCCTTTAGAGAGATTGAGAGAAAGGGGGCGGGGGGGCAGGTGGGCTTTGAAGAAGAGGGTGGTAAGAAATTTTTGCTTGAGAAAAATATTGCCCTTTCCATGAGGAAGGCAAGATTTATGTGCTGTGAAAAGGGTGCCTGGGCAGTTACCTGAACTGCCAAATCTTTAATCAAATAGTATATATTTCTTAGCCTTCCAGAGAGCAGTATCTAATGGTGACAAGGTAGCTGCACAGGGCTAGTTCCTCAGCTAGCGTGCTATGCCTCTGCTCTCTGAGCTCTGCATTCCAACACAGGAAATGAATGCTTCAGGAAATGCACATATACCCATTTTGGTATCATGCTCCTTCAACGCCAGATTTCTACTTTAAAGAAAACCTTCAAAACAGCAAAACCACAGAATAACAACAACATCACTGAGCCTTCAGACATTTACAACAGCTCTGAAAGTATAGCCCTTGTCTACAGTCGTTACTGCTTCTGCCTTATCTCTGCTCATGGATTACTTTGCTCATCATAGAAGGAGCATCCCTCAAGAGCCCAGCACACAATTCTAACCATATCCAACCAACTAGAGTTGAGAGTCATCTCATTTTATGTCATTAAAGCCTCGTTATTTTTGTGTATGTGTTCAGCCTGAGCATATAAGAATTCTATGTGTTCATTTTCAAGACTGAGTGAAACCCAAAGTTGGCCAAACAGTCATGAAGGCGATTTGGGACCTCATCTATGGATGTGATATAATAGTTGAGGTAATAATAGGGATGATTGCCTCTGTTTGACGATCTGGCTTTCTCCCTAAGGCTGTGATGAGGGCCCATGTTTACAACAGCATCAGCTGCTAGAGATTATAAACTTAATTGAAAAGAGGAAGCTGAATTTCTACAGATACGAACCCCCAAATAAACACATGGCTATGCTATAGCTAATGTATGTTAGTAAGAATATAAAAACCCTGCTTTAACTGGAAAAGTTATCTCAGTGGTTTTATGAGAGATGAATCGGGCATGGGAACCAAATTAAGTTTTCGGTTGTATAATCACAGTTCCCTGGTCAAGAAAATCTCCAGCCTCTGGGGATGAAGCAATCCATTTCGAAACTCTGTTTAGTTAGTTCTTTGGCAGGGTGAGATGATTTTCCATCGTGAAATGCCCAAATAGACTAGAACATGGCCATACCAGTGACTGTAAGGTCAATATTCCCAGTGACTACCCAGGAACCACTGTGTAGCCGTTTATTTTGAACACAGGAAGTGAGGCTTTTGGCTGATACCTAACAAGAATTAATAAGTCAAAACTCTTTGAAAAGTTTTTAAGGATGAAATGCTAAATCAGAAACAAATTCTCTGTTGATCTGTGTTCCATAACAAAACAATTTCTCTTTATTTACCTGTTTAGATCATTCTTCTTGGAGAAGATTGAGCATAGTTTTTTTTATTATTATCTTGCCTTAAAAGTCTAAGGAATTTGATGCTTGTAGTTTTAGATGTAAAGCATCTCTGAGAGAAAAAGAACGTTTTGAATTCTTATCTTTTATCCTTTGTAAAATGTAAAACTAGTAAGCCTGAATCTACCATCAGGCACGAAATGGTGTCACTGTAGGCCCTCCTGGATGTAGACAGTCACAGCTAGCACTACACAAATTGTGTTACATAGCTCTGGTTTCAGAGGCAATGGCAGCCAGAAAAATGGAAAAGCTGCCATATTTCTAATTAATAACCTCTGGCCTCACTTCCTTCTTCCGGACACCTCCTAGCCAAATCCTCCCCAATCTCGTTCCAGGCTGAACAGTATACACAGAAAAAAATCCTTCCTTCTCTGCCTCTCTACCTTGTCTTGCCCAAATTGATGACATAAAACATAAAAATTGCTAGACATTCTTAAGTGCCCTCAACCTGGTCCCCATTCCTGAAAGATTCAGATCGCTACATTTTAGAGGGGTTACTGTTTAACCATTTTGGGGTTGTTTTCTTTTAGCCATGAAAATAGCCATAATCTCCTGTATTAACAAAGTGGCAGCAGAGGCTGAAATTGCACGGACACACTCTCTTATGCCACAGTCATGTCCAGGGGACCCCATGTTCATAGTTCATAAACTGTGAAATAAACTGAGTCTTAGACTTAACCTGTATAGATCCAGCAGAAATCCCATCATTTATTTGACAATGATGACTTCGCACTCATTCCAACCAGTCATGTTTCTTGACTTAAAATATTAGGGGTGACATATGCATTACACTCACCAGCTTTGTGAGGCCAAGACCCAGGTAAAGACATATTTTTGGCTTGAATTATCCAGGATTGTTGCCCCCATCCTCTCCATTGCCAAATAGAAACAGCAAGACTCGTTGGTAGTTCTGCTGACTAAAGTGTTTTCACATATACCGTCTTTACTGTCTGTTACAATCAGTGAAGCATCTTGAAAATGCAAAGAGAAAATGTGGTGCAGAGAATAAAGTTTGGTTTATGGATCCAAGGATAGGCTTTCCTTAAAAAGCATTACGTACAATACACAGAAATGTTGACCAAATTCCATCTTTCTAAAATCAATGACTGCTTTATAAATATTCACTTCAGAAAGAGCTCAATCAAAATTTGCCAAGTGAAACAAACAAACAAACAAAAGATCTATTTATAATGTTAGAAGGAAAAGCTCTCCAAGATTTCTTATATGGACAATTTTTAATAGTATTTTACAAAGGGTGATGTGCCACAGTTTTTTTTTTTTTTTTCCCTAAACAAGTATAATCAAATATTTATCCCAGGAGGGAGGGTAAAGGAATGTGCAAGCATTTGTTCATGTTGGTTCATCAGCAGTTACCGGGATGAGGAGGACAGAAAAACAAACAAAAATATCTGTTGCTTGAAAGCAAACAGTCAACACAGAGGTCAAGTTGTTAATGGAATGTAGAATATTATGTAAACTTCCTTGTAAATTCTGTACATAGTTCATGGAACTGTTCCCTGTGGCGTGGTGGTCCTCAGCTTTTGGGTGGATGTTTGAAAAATATGAGCATTGTAAATAATGTAAGCTCACGAGGCACTCGCTTTTATTCATGAAGTGAAATGACTAGTGATTTGGGTCCAAACCAGAATCTTTTTAGCTCTTGCTCTTTCTCTGACATTGTGTGTGTACAGTTGTGTAATTCTGCCAGGTGTCTGTGATCACTGCCTCATGCCTCAACCCCACTGAAAGGGACTGGAGCTACCAATAAGTCTGCACACCCCTGGGGCTCAGGAACAGCACACCAGCAGAGACAGGAATCTTAACGAGCTGCTCCTGGAACTGTGCCATGAAAAGTTTGACGCGTTTTTATCAGTCACTTGTGGCTACTCATATATTCAGATACCAAATTATCCATGCTGTTGAGGGGGTCAAGAAGACATGATCAAAATCCACAGGGAATCCAAAGCTTCATTTGCACCAATAGCTTTAGCTTGTACCTTCTTTCCTTCCACAAGTTTTCCCAGAACTTCTAATACGAACAGAAATGGATGGATGGTTGATCAGGGTAAACAGTCAAATGCGCAAATGATGGGAAGGAGAAAAGAAGGAGATAGCCAACAACATTGATAACACCAACTGGCTGATTCATGCCTAAACGATCCAGAGGTGACCATGTCACTGTTTTTGAAGGGTAAAAAGAAGTATTGGTATAAATGGACTGGGTATTAAGACAAGTACTTTTCAACTGGGGGCCTGGGATATGTTTGGTATGTGCTAGTTAAACTTAAAAGAGAATCTGGCAATTAAATGTTCTCAAATATATTTCTCCCAAGTCCTGGTATTCTTGAAAAAGTCTTCAGAATGGTGGGATATTATGCCATAAGATGTGTTTCCATGCAGACTGGCAGTCCCAGAGAGGGTGATGGTATCCACAGAAATTCAGAAATTCTAAGCAAGTAGGGAAATAGATTGGTTTCTTAGCAACGTTTGAGAGTGATCAATGTCTTTCTTGCAGGTAAGAACTTAGCAAGGCAAGGCTTTTATTGCCAGCATTTTAAGTGCCAGGAGAGTGCAGGGAGCCATCACTGTAAGACATTTTGGCTCCAAAATGTGCCAAGTAGGGTCCACAATCAATTGAATAAGAAAAAAGCCCTGTTGGAACTAATCAAGTCAATTTCTAGGTCCAGAATACATTGTGCTTTTGCTTAAATCCTGCTTTTTCCAGATAACTGAAATCAACTAAGCTGACAGAAAACTCCACTGTTAGAGGCTGCAATTTCACAAACATTTGAAAGGAAATCCTTTTCAATAGAAGAACTGCAAACAAGAAAATACTAAGTTCCTGGAAGGATAAGCATAGTTTTGAGTTTGTTTTTATTTCTCCAAACCAAGAATTTCCTTATTCGAACTGAAGAGATCTAACAGTTGTTTGTTTTGTTTCGGTTTTCCTATTTCAAAAAGTCCTTGGTACATCAAGGGACTGGCAACCATTCCTGATTGGCCCCTAGATACTTTGTCCACCCTGGAACAATCAGCACTCAACACTAAGGCTTCAGTAGGAATTTGGTGTAGGAAAAGGAGG